ATAGAAAAGCGTTTTTCTTGCGTGATATTTTTATTATTTTGCAATAAATATATTTCTGAGATAAGAAAGCGTAAAAAATAAATTTTTTTGTTAAGAAATTTCATTTACAATTGTTTATTTACAATGTTTTCATAGACGAAAAATAAACACAAAATAAAAAATAGATTAAAAAAACTACCAAAACTACGTGAACGGGAATCGAACCACGGTCCTTCGGCATAAGAATTTTCAACTATCGGCGTTATGCCACGATTCTACTTGGAAACAATTGGAAGTAAATGCCTAATTATGGAAGTAATAAAACTTTAATCAAAAACTATCGAGTAGTTGCCGCTATAATGATATATTTTCTTAAGCTGCATGACGATATTTACAAACCTACAAAGTTTCAACTAAATCGGTGACCCGAAGGACTCGCACTCTCCTTGTCAGTTGCGTGTTATTCTTCGCCGCGTTAGGACGAAATGGCTGGGCGTGTGCTCGATTTTGCCGTTGACCGTGCCACGCGCCGCTGTCGCCGTCTGTTTTCCAACCAGAGTACGGTTAGTAATATTTATTTTATATCCTTGCAATTTACACCGTTCTAGAAAAAATGTTCGGTGATGGACGCGTGATCGACGTTGCTGTTGATAATGGGACGCGCCATTGGAACTTAAATCGTAGGTTATGGGGTTAATCGCGGAGGGTCGTGCAGGAGATTGAGTTTGATGGAATGGTTTCGTTACTTTTCGGCGTTCGAACGTTCGAAAGTTGGAAAATCATCGTCACCTTTGATCTTTACGTCAGGCGGGACGATTTTCTCCTCGTTTTTGCGGTGTTTACGCGTTGGCTAGGGCAATCGTATCGTTAACGGGACGATCGCGAGGTAGAGTGGAGAGAAAAGTAAGCGGCGTGGAGATTAACAAACGTACGTGACCGGATTGCGATTTCGACGGGGAAAAAGCACCGCGGGTAACTCTTTCGTACTCTGTACCTCTCTCTCTCTCTCGGTTGCCGATTGTTGACTGGAAAGCTGACCGGATCGGTGTACGTATGCGGATCGGAGGCAGGAAACCCAGTTTCTGAACGCGGAGCAACAAATCTCGAGAATGGCTCGTAAGCGAACGTGGTACCGGATGGCATTCCTATGCAACGCTTCGCCTACGTGTATCTCTCGGTAACCGTGCACCCTATGGATTCCGTAGGACAACGCGTACCGTCGCTAGAGAACCCATAGATCAGCCCTACGACCCGATCCGCGCGTATAGCAGGTTTTCCTCCGTCTTTCCTTCGCTGCTGTACGAAAGAAATGTTGGAGCGGTGAAAAGCTGGGAAAAGGCTCGGCGTTAACGGCGAGAGGAGTGGAAAAGAATAGGAATATCGGATTGGACGGACTCGTTTGGATTAAATCTGCACGGTTTTTCGAGCGCAGCAATGGCGAACGAGGTCACGGCAGGTGGGGAGATCGTTAGACTTTTAAACGCGTGTCTCGTTTAATCAATGCCGGGGAAGGATACGAAACCACGGGGGATAGACTATCCACCGACCGGTGGAGTAACGGAGAAAAGAGACATGGCCGTTATTCGTGACGCGAGAGGTACGCCGGGAAACGCGCGCAAATATATTTCGGCTTTCACGCGTGGCTACGGGATAGAGTAGTTAAGCCAAGGATTCGTCGTGTATCCTGCGAGGTCTATAGGTAGTCCGTCGGTCTGTGTACGACTGCGATCGATTACTTGCTTTATTTCGCGTGAGCCGCTGGGACCTCGCCGAACTGCGATTACCATTGCCAGCCGTTCCTCTGGCCCACACCGAATGCGTCAGTTGCCCTCGCCTGCGCTCCTCTCCGCTCCTCTCCGCTCCTCTCCGCTCCTCTCCGCTTCTCTGCGCATCGGAATATCAGTCCGATTCGGCTTGGTCGAGAACGATGCGCGATTGGTGACATTACGCGAATCGGTACGAGACAGCAGATCTGACGCCAGAGATACACGATGTTGTAACAGCCAGGGATGCACCGACTGACCCGAATACATCCGATGGATTTTCCCATTTTAAATCTGATAGGATACCCATCGAGGAAAAGCAAACACGCACCGACTGCGAGTTTTCCCGTGTTACCCAAACCCTAAGCACTCGCGCGTTTACCTTCTCCTCTGTTCTGCAATCGAACGACGAGAAATTCGCGCGAACGGGAAAGCTGCTCCGCCATATTTTTCCCTTACTTCCCGATATCGTACGTTCGAGGTTTAAATTTCAGCGCGAATAAATTTCTCCCCCATTTGTCGCGAATATCGCACGCGAGTATAGCTATTATCGCGGACGGGATATAGAATAGAATCTCGAGTCTCTCCTTATCGTTTACCTTCCATGGATTCCCGAGTAACGGATTTCCCCGATTCGAAATCGATTTACGCGTGGACGTCGCGACGCCCGTGCTTTTCCCGTCTTACTCCTCATTTTCCTCCATACCATGTGGAAACAAACGCTCCTTCTCCCACTGCTGTTCTCCGTGCTTCGGAAAAATAAAGATCTCGAAACGGCAACGCGTAGCCTGTAAGTACGATGCTCGTGGAACGTTGATCGCGTCGGTGAAGGTCCTTTTATACGCGTCGAATAAAAGCAAATAGTCGAACGCGGCATCGACTCGTTTTCATCCTCGTGTTACGTGATAAATGTACCCGGGTGTTCCCCGGTAACGAATTTTACTTTACGTACCGATGATTTTGACCAAAAAAAAAAAAAAAAAAAAAAAAAAAAAAAAAAAAGGAAAAAAGAGGAAAAAAGAGAAAAAAAATAAACAGAGAGAGGGAGAGAAAAAATAGAGGAAAGCAGCTGGATTTAATTTGGAAACACGATGGTTTCGATAAAAACGCGAAACAACGCGATCGAAAAATGGCAAACGACCGATATCGGTTTACCTCGGATAATAAGAAAGGTGGAGGGGGCAAATCCGTTGGATTAGGAGTCGGTGGGAGCAAACGATAATGAACGTGACTCGTAATTGTTCCAGATCATCGATCATCGTTCGCGTGACAGGTAATGAGAAAGCATAGTTTTAGTTTCCGGTTCGTTTAATTGTTACGGACGCGCACGTCGGGTGAGAAAACGGATAGCTGTCAAGCCAGGCGGTGCATTCCGATGTCGCGGGTTTTGCGTTACACGCGCGCGGATGGACCGGCGAAAAATCCGCGGACTATCCCGGACCCGGCTCAGGACGGTCTCGGTTTGCCGCGTCTGAACGGCCGTTCCCGTGACGCGATTCTCGCGCCAAACCTGCACCCACTGATTAAGTCGCCTCTCGTTCCGAGCGTGTAATTTACTCGCGATTAGCGTGCAGAGCTGCCGTTATTTTTCATAACGCCGTTTACCTAACGCCTGCCAGAAATCCGCGTCTCGCTACCTCGCCTAGCCGCCGCGCGACGTGCCGCGAATTTTTTCCGCTCCGTTCGGCAAATCAGCTTCCGCGAGCGCAAAATATTTAGCTATTGATTTTTCGCCGCGCGCGCAATACCACCGACCAGTCGTGGCAAAACTTGATCAAAGATAATCTCTTTGTTCCGTTTGCGCTGCAGCGATAAACTTTTACAATATTTTTACGCGAATTTTTGCCCCGCTGGCATGCGCCGCGTGAATATTTCCTGGTCCGCTGCTTTTCGCAACGTAAAATCAGAAATTTAATATAGTCGGCTGAATGTCACGCGTAAAATGTGATTTCTGCATCCGTGTTACGTCTGCGCTCGCCTCTGCAACAGGATAAAAACGAGGGAATTTATCGCGAGTCGCGCCACCCATCCTGCACACCTAAGCGAGTATTCGCGCGCTTCTGTTTATTCGCGAATAGCCGAGTTCCGGCACGAGTCCGGCGAGTATAGTTGGCCGATAAGGGTGCGCGAAAAGGAGAAAATTTTCGATCGTCTGGGCGTCGGCGGCGTCGGCGGCGGCGGCAATTCGGTGGAGTACGTTCCCTCTCTCGGTGTGTACTCGGCGAACCACGGCCAATTAGCCGGAAGCACATTCGAACCATTAGCTCGAAATGAATTCGCGTTTAGGATTTGCTTCAGCGCAGAAGGTCGATCGGCAAATTCGATTTCCGGCACGCTCAACCGTGGATTATTAAGCTCATCGATCGGACAAACCCGGCTTGGTCTCCTCCGCTTCCAACGTGCTTATAGCAAGGTTGCATCCGCTCTTCAGACCAATAACTCCTCCTTTTTTCTTTCTTCCGTCCCGTCGCTATAAAACCGAGAGAAACTTTCTCTCTTCGCGATCGTTCCCGTCTACGTGCACACGACGCCGACGCGACGCCGACGCGACCCGACGCGACCCGACGCGACGCGCCACGACCGTTCGATCGGCAACGGACTCTCTCCGAAATCGCGATAGGTTCTAACCGCTCGCCTAATTCTCCCTGGAATCGCGATCCAGTTTTGCGCCGTGCTTGTAATTGAATCCGAATTTGTCGTTAGAGCACGTAGCAGGTATCGTTAGGAAACCGCGTTATATTCCCTCGGGTACGATAGAAGCCTTAGTCCGATCTGACATACATTGTCCCTGTCCCGTTTACCGATGTTCGCAACCGCGTAATTGCACGGACTTTCTCGCGTCGATACGAGCCCTGTGTGTGCGTGTGTGTGTCGTCTCCCACGAGAATTCGCTTCGCACCCTTCGCTAAAGCTCTATCCTCGTGGTAAACGCCGCGCGAATCGCCACCTTTCTCTTCCCTTATTTTCGTCTCGTTCTTTTAATAAACGACAAAGATCAGAGGTCGGGAAATTTCCATCCGCGATTATTCACGATCGTGCATCTCGAGCAAAAGGGAAAGATAAATAAACGGATGGCAAAGAAAGCCGCGGCAACGACACGCGTGATCGCGTTCTTTATTCCGCTCATTTTTACCTGCCGTCCTATTCGTTATCCTTTACCCGAGCGAGCGAGAAACTTTGTCTCCTGCCCCTTTCGACGAGCAGCGAAAAATCGCCAGCCGTTTTAACTCGCTTTGGCCGTTATCCCGTCTGTTCCAGAGATCCCGGGCAGATGGAGAAGGCATTGTCCGCACGGACCCATAATGTCCGAACCTGGTTGCAACCTGGTGTCTGATGGTACCACCGGAGAGAACGGGAACACGCTGTCGACCGGGAGATGCGTTTGCGGAGCCTCGGTGCCTTGGTGCCCCAACGAACCTCGTCCTTACGATTATCCCACCCGACACGAGTGCAAGCTCAATCTCGCCGCGAAGATGAGTTACGGTAAGCTCGCGCATATTCCCTTTTTTTCATCTTCTGCTCGAGAGTCAAGGTCGGCGAACCCTTTTACGTCGTGTTTTACGAACCTCGCGAACGCGGAGGATCGTTCAAACGATCAATGTCTCCGACGCTTTCTTTATCCTTCTCTCTCGAACAGCGAAGAGAAATAGCGAGTTTGTCAATATTTGCACGTGGAGGAAAATCCGTAGGTTTTTTCCGCTCGCGAGGACCACGCGAATGGCTAGCGCGGTAAGAAAGGCTGGAATTTCGTAATGCAACGTAAATAATCTTGCGTACAATCGCGTGGCTATTCTACCAAGGCTGTTTGCGTTTCACGGTGACGCGAAAAAGAAAAAAAAGAAGGCAAACAGGGATCGAAGAAATCCGTTGCACCCGTAGCCCGTTCCTCTTCCTTTTCCACCGACTCGCGTGCAACTGCCACATCGTCGATTCGCGAAACGTCGCGCGGCTGCATTTTCGGTCGGCGAGTAAAGTATTCCGCTCGGCGGATTATTTAATTGGCCGGCGTGGACGAGTACGCGTGTCGTAGACGAAACAGAGGGCGGTTGATTTTTCGTAGTTGTTTCGTTTCGACGATAAAGCGTTGGCGGGTGAAAGAAAATGAGAATCGTTAAAGTGGACGAAGTACGTGAAAGGAGAGCAGAGTTGAAATAACGAAACTGCGGCAGTTGCCCGTTAATGAAAAGAAAACATAAATAGTAGCAAAAGAAGGAACAATGGGGACTAAGAGAAACGAAAGGTCACGAAGGTGAGGGCTGCACGGCGACGTTAATGAGAAAAAGACATAACTAGGGGTATGTCTCGCGACGCAACTCTCGCTCTCTTCCCTTCTTTGTTTCTGATTAAAGTCACCGAAAAAGTAACGCCCGCGAGCTCGAAACCGTACCACGCTCGCGCGAATACTCGCGTTCCGTCTCTCCGCGAGGCGTTGCAAAGAGAATTTTTCACCGGCAGATTCGATGCGCGGCGTGTTTACGCGGTGTATGGCAATAACGTCTCGCGACGTTCCGTCCTTCCGAATAACCACTGTGGAATAAGTTTGCGGTAATTACAGCTGGAGACTGTAGAATCGTGGCATATATAGAATCGATAGTTAACTCGTCTTTTCATCGAGCCGAACTTTCAGCAGTCTATTCTGGCGCACTTTGCCGTTCAACGTGTAACGAAGTTGTTAGCGAGCGAGTAACAAAAGTAGTTACCTGCAACGGTGCAGAAAGTTAAATTCGATTCGTCGGGTAAAGTTTAATCGTGTACGTACTCCGAAGATGGAAACCAGACGGATTGTTCTTTCGCGGGGTTAAGTACACGACTAAAATTGCCAAGACCAAGTCCGAGTGCTAGTCGAAGGGGGCAACGATCAGCCGGTTTCTTCCTCGCACTTTCCGATAATCGCGCACCCTGATCGGAAGCGATGCCGAGAACGGCCACGTTTCAAGGGCCATTTTTCCCTTGGCCGCGATTTACGTTAACCTTTCGATTATTCCTCGCGGCAAAAAGTTGCTCGTGTAACGCGAACAGCTAACGAGCTAACTTTTATCGCAATTATTCGAATTATGCAACTCTCGTTACCGATCGTCATTAACATGCGCCGCTGCCTTTTGCCACGCACGCGCCACGCTTGCTCGCCGTTCGTCATTTTCTCGGTTAAATCGACTTCGTAACAACCTTAGTTTCGGTTTATATGGCTCTATTGCTACGGTTTCATTTCCTGCCGCGCGTCAGGATTCGGTTCTCGCTTTTCCGTCCCGTGGAAACGTCATACCAGAACCAACTCTCGAGCTAATCGATACGCGGGATCGTCTAAACGACTCCTCTCTTCGTCGAAATTTTCATTTTCCACTTTAGCCATCCTCGAAACCTTTCGATATTGCTCCTCGAGAGTGCACGCAAAGGGTGTTTGAATTTTGGAAAAGTGACTTACGAAACGGTGCGCAAGATCCGGATTAACGGGAATTTTTTCAAACGATCGCGAACGTTATCCCGGCGTGCATCGAGGGTGGTTGCCGTCGAACACCGTGCACCAGAGTCGCGATGTTCCGGAACGAGTCGAGACGGTATTCGACGTTGGACGGAAAATCCTTGGGAAAAACGAAAATGCGGATTGCTCGGAGCTGCCGAGGAATTACGCGCCACGGTGGCTACGATGTTTCGAAAAACATGCCGACGCGTACCGAAACGCTTTGTAACGCCGTTACCGGGTACACGAGCGCGGCTAAGATGCCATAGCGTACCGAGAAAATACTCCGAGACATTGTTGCGACGTTCCACGGTATTTCGCGTATCCTTCTTAGGCTACTTTAGGGTGCTATGCATACTTTGCGATACGATTGCGGTAGCTTTCGCCTCTGCAGACCTCTCGACGTTCGTTCACGCTTCCTTCCGTCCTTGTAATTTTCCTTTCTTTATCTTCTACACTTTGTAACGTCCATTTTATTTTTTCTTCCGACGGATTAAGCTTACGGACGAGCGTGGTATTTTTCGCTGTCGCAAGAAAGAGAACCGAAGCGAATGTTACCGTAAGATTACGGTAAATTTATGGAGGAGGACCTTCTTTCGTGCACTTGAGCGAGCAATAACTTCATAATTGGGTCATTACACGAACGGTTTATTGATCGCAAAATTCAATTTAATCCCTTCCAAAGACGTAGCCGGGCACGAGTTTCCACGACTACAAACTGTGTACAAAGAGGACATCGCGTAATGGAACGTCATCGAATTAAGGGTGAATCCGTTTGCTGAAAAGTCACGTATCGGTAACGATATCGATTTCGTTAACGTAACGATACGTACACGCGTGTTCTCGCGGAACCCGATACATCGCGGTCGACGTTAACTGGCAAATTAATTCGAGTTCGCAACTGAAAAGATCGCACCTCCCCGCGATTTCTTTCTCTCGTCGAGGAGAAACGTGCCGCCGCCGAAAAGGTCGTTAATCGAACGATCGAACCGGGCAAAGCGCAGTTACGGGCGTGCAAATATTAATAGCAAATACCGCGATGGTTGTCCGAGGAAGATTAACGCGGAGGATTTCGTGGTCGATACTTCCGGATAACTTTACGTTTATTTAGGATCCGCGTCGATATCGCGCAAAATTTACTTCCCATATTAGCCTTTCGGTAATCCATTCGAGTATTTGCATAATGAATGTCCCCGGATAGGTGAAATATCGAGTTGCTCAAGTACGAGTAAACTCGTAATCTGTAATGTATCCGCGTGGCATATCGCCCTGCATCGATGCACGCCTACGATCCCGTATGCCTACCAGCGTCGCAGGCACTCCGACGTGTTCCACGCGAAAGAAAACGCCAGGAAACGCAAAGATTTCCTCGATCTCGTCTCTGCTTCCAGCACCGAATTACTCGATTACTCGATTATTCGATTACTCGAAAGATTACGCAAAGGAAAAGGCCGGTTCGTCGGTTCGACCGCTTCGCCTACGACATCGCGCGAGACTCGTGGTAAGGAAATCGAGCCAAATATGAGCGTGACGGGTGAGAGGCGTGGTTCGTAGACATCGCGCTTAGTTTCCACCGATGTCTTTCCGTCGACCGACCTTGCCGTCGACCACGGCACTCGACTATGCCCATTTGGACCGAAATGGCAAAGCAAGCGGTTAATCTCCGCACCGTTTCGCGCAATCGTCCCGCTACGCGATAAATAACGAGCCAATTGATCCTCGAGCAGCGTGTTCCGCGACAACGCGTAACTCCTCTAGATCGTTGATCAACTTCTGTTTCAGATGACCTCTTTAATTCCGGAAACACGGCGGGCGACGACGTCGAAGGTGAGTCACTTTTAGTCAATTTCGAAAGTTGCTGGCAGGAGTTTTAATTGGGCGTGTTTAGTATTCATCGGCGATCGAGTTTGGAGCATTAAAGTGAAATTACACGAGTACGCTTGCGTTAACGAACTATACGTCGTAGTTTCGAGTTTACTCGGACTTTTACCGCTAACATCGTCTCGGCGACGAGTCGCCCGGAACGGGACCGTTCGCGCGATAATAGAAATAGAAGAGCGTGGAAAAAAATAGAAGGGAATAGAGAGAAAAATTTACCTCCCGTTACGTCCCGTATCGTTTCCCGCGTTTTTCCCAACCATCGATTTTCCCGCGCCCACCATTATCGCCACGGTGATAATAGTAATAAATGGAAAAGGAACGCGGGAAACTCTCGTTTCCTCCCTGTGCGCTGAAAATTTATTTAGCCCGCTATTTTTATGTACCGACAGTTATTAATACCGCCGATGTAAACGATCGGTGTATACGCGTCTGTCAATATAATATCCCGTAATATCCTTGACAATTGAAAAAGGTATTCGACGACACGGGCTAAAAGAGAGTACACGGGCTCGTTCAACGTTGCGTTGCTGCGATACGAACCGCAGAAGGGGAGAAAGAGAGAGAAACAAAGGATTACCGTATTTGACCGACGATCGCTTTATGCGCGTGTTGTTCGATAAGCTTAATTCCTTGCGTCGTGCAAACGATGGAAAAGCTGCGCAGCTTTTTTCGCCGTCCTCGTTCGGTTCGCGTCGTTTCGCGTCGTTTCGCGTCGTTTCGCATCGTTTCGCGCGAGTAACGATCGCTGCAACGTCTCGTTGCTCGAGATTTGCGTCGTTCCTCGCAAGAACGAGTATTCGCCATCCTAATTATCGGCAAACAACGCGACGAAACGGTTAATTTCGTTTGGGAAACGAGACAGCGACTAGCCGACGTTGGGGGAAATTTTTGGCGAAACGTTAGGAAGCGTAGCCGGAATTGCTAGAGGAATTGGACAGGGTAGCGGATAGGTAGCGGATAGGTAGCGGTTAACGAAGCGGAGAAAAACATGGCACCGGACGGGTCTAATCGTCCGCGTTGTCGCTATAATCGGGCAAGAATCCGGTTTGTCGTTGCGTAAAAATAGGAAAGAAGGAAGCCAAGTCTGGTGGATTTTTTAGCGGGGGGGAAAATAGAGCGTCGGAGGAGACGGTCAAGTGAAGCATAAGCAAGGAATTGAATTACTCGGAGAGAGACGGCGGGAAGCCGTGGCGAGGGTCAACCAGGGCGACAGTCAGATCCACGAGACGCGGGGGAACTAATTCAATTTGGTAGGCGGACGGGGTTGGCCTTTTGCGAAACAAGAACGAAAGAGCAACAATGCCGCGATAAGAACTTGCCTTTTTAGGCGCGACGCGTTAGCCTCTTTCACGCGGTACATTACAGTCAATGAGAGAAAGGAAAAAGGATGAAACTTTGCCGGAGAAACGGGCCAAATAACAAAAGAAACTCCGTAAATATCGCGTAATGCTCGTGGGAGAGCTAGATGTTGCGTCACCTTTCTCCTTTTTTCCTCTTTTGCTTTCTTCCTTTCCCTTTTTCTTTCCTCTCTTTTTCCTTTTTTTTCCCCTCTTTTACGGCGAATTTTCGACACCGCGAACCACTCGAAATAATTCGTTCGACAACGCCATCGAAACACGGCGCAGCTTTGCCGGCGTATATTAAATAATATTCGAAATTAAAGCGCCGACATTGCCGTAAAAATGAGAGCAGAAACGAATAATTAAATGCTTCCGTTTAACTTAAATCACAGGGCAATTAGATCCGGGAATTTAATTCGATGGGAAAAATTTCCCTCTTTCGCGTGCGTTCGCGAGCTCGATTTTTCCAAATTCCCCTGATAAAATTGCCAGCGTTTCTTCCCTACTCGAATCGAGTAGAACGCGTTTTCCTGAATCACCCGGCACGCGAACGTCACGGCGATATCGAATCGATAACTGGAGAAAATTAACTCGTCGGTGCCATAATCCGGAATACCGAATCGAGAGCACGGTCTAGCCAGATCTTAGATTCTTCCCCGATATAATTGTCGGAGAGTTGGAAAATTTCCGGTTTAAGCGTCGGGATAATTAACCCGCTCTCTCCGTTGCAAGTTTAATCGAGCAGTGGCTTTGCCCCGTTAATCATAACCGACGAATCCGTAGTATCTTAGCGAAATTGCACGGCGATTAGGAGAAAACGAGCAGTTCCTTTTAAACGCGCGCTATTTCCATAGAATTCCATCTCGTAAATCACAAACGCGAGACGTCTGCCTTGATTTCAGCCGAAAGGTCGACGCCGGGTCTCGAGGCTTATCTCCTCGCTAGGTGACTCGAGACCCACTTGCTTTCCTTACCTAGTAAGGAATCGACTCCGCCAACTTTACCTCGAGTGGCTGAGTCGAATCTTCCCTGCCAGGCTATCGCCGACATCTAAATCTTACCTGTCGGTATTAGGCTTTAAACCGCCACCGCTCCTTTACGCTTTTACCCGCTTGTACCCGCTTTCCGAACCTTTGAAATTTCGCTTTATCGCATCGTTATCGTACCATTCGGAGTTGAACCGGCGTTTCGGATTTTTTCGTTTAATCGCTCGGTGCGTTTCGCGACCTCGCTCGCCGAAACTTAATCTTACGCTCCGAGCGTTCAAACTTTTCCCGCTGCCCAAAACCTGTCGAATAGCCGGAGAGCGAATATAAACTAGTTAAAAGCGTACGAACTAGTGGCTGCCAATGTTCCCCGAGTTCACGGCATATCGCGTTTAACGTTTTCACTCCAACACCCCTCCGCAACCTCTCTCTTCTCGCGGTGTCTCCAGGGTAACGCTGAAACAGCCTGACCGCGAAATTTCTCAAATCCCGGCCAGACACCACTCGCGAATTTTATTACAGTTCTACGCGATTGTCCGACAGCCAGCGTCGATTAATTATTATTCCGGTTATTACCGTTATTATCGTTATTACCGTTATCGCCGTTATAAGTTATGCCGATAATCGAATCGGTAACGACGCGGCGATCAGCCGTGTCCGATACTTAATCTTCTGCCGGGCTGGAATAGCGCGCAGCTAGCCCGCAGAAAGCTGCAGCTTTATTCGGTTAGGCGAGGAAAACAAGCGCGGTCGACTCTGGCTTCCGGACTCGATCCAATTTCGGACTCAATGCCCCGAAATGCACCTGTATATACCTTGCCTCGTAACGGAAAACCGGCAAGTTCCGAAGCTCTTTTTCTCCCCGGTTCGTACACAATCTTTCCAACTCGTTAGTACCGCGATTCCAAACACAGCCGAGCTGTATCGCTCGAGAAACACGCTTCCGTATCGGCATCTTTTTTCGCTCTCGAGTTCTCGACAAATACGTGCAAGTCGACGAAAGGTCTTGGCGTTCTCACGGACTTCCGGCATGCCTTCGACTTCTCCGCCCGATTCCGCCGGCTTCCATTCTTTCTCTTCTTTATCCACTTTGTCTCCTCTCTTTTATTCCGTTCGAGAAAAGAAGGAAGAGAGGAGGATAATTCGCGACAATTCGTGCTGTGGATGGAATCGCTATCGAAGATTCGATACACCACTCGCCGTTCACGGGACGCGCGTCGCACGGACTCGCGAGGCGTTTCAGGCTCGACGAGACTCGTCCGGAGAGCGTGGCTCATCGACGATCATCGCTCGAAACGAGCAGGAAGAAGTACCCGGGGAGGTATTGAAAGAGAGCCGGTAGCAGGTTCATCGACGCGTATGCAGAGAAAACGTTTACTCGCATAGTCGGATTCGCGTTTTTCCTGTTGCTCCGCGAGCTAGTAATCCTCGAGGGAGAGGAGCGCGCGGCAACTGTTGGCTCCGCTCGCGCACCTCGAGCATATTTGCACCGATAAAACGAATAGATTGTCCCGAGTTTCACGGCAACGACCCTTTTTATCAGCGCTTCCGAGAAGGGGCACAAAGGGGGAAGAAAAGACGGTTCCACTTGGACGCAGCGAAATAGAAATCGCGAGGGCGAATCGTTGCCTCCGCTACCGTACTTCTCGATGAGAGTTCCATCGCGTTTTCGATTAAACAAAAAAAAAAAAAAGAAAAAAGAAAAGAAAAAGAGATGGAGAAAAAGGAAAAGGGAAGGAGAGGGAGCGAAATGAAAAGCGAGCGAGTGGAAGGGAGAAAAGGTGAGGGGAAGGGGGGAAAAAAATGGTTAACAAAGGTAATAAAAATAAAAAAGCGAGAAAGGAGGAAGGGAGAAGAATGGAGAAAAGTGGTAGGAGGAGAGAGGGCGAGGTGTATCGATAAAAATAAAGTTTATATCCGGACGGTGCTAAACGAAACGAAGCTTTCTATTAAAAAATCATTGCAGACTCGAGCGAATTTCGAAAGGAAAGACTCGAACGGGGCACAGATTAAGTTACTTTCGTCTGGTACCGAAATACTTTCTTCGCGAACGTTAATTTCGTTAAAAATTCATTTGCCGCGCCAACCGGCGCATCGTGGCGCCGATGCGTCGAAAAACGACGGAAGGTCGTTTTAGAAAAGTTTGCTTTTAAAACAAATTTTTTTGTCAATAGTTAAATAAAAACCTGAAGCTTCCCGTTACTTCTCTCAGCTTCGGGTCCAAAATCGTAGATGGCGCAGATCGCAGACGGTAAAATTTTTATTCCAACTTGATATCTCTTCTGGTTATGCGATTTTAAGAATACCTTGTACAATCGTTGCGTTGGTTTTTCTGATCGGGAACACGTTGTAACGACATTTTTACTCGGTATTTTTATACGATTTACCCTCGCGCCGCCTTTATTCCGCACATGTCACCTTAGAATCGAACGAAGGTTAGCAGTTGGATATTTCGTTCTTGGTAAAGCTCTCTCGATTTGTCAAATTTGCGCCGTGTCCGATTCGGAAATATTACGTCGATGTTGCAAAAATAACCTAAAACGGTTGCATTGTTACGAAGCAATAACCGATACGGCGCATTATTGTTTTCGAATATATGTTTCATCGGTTGTAGCAATTA